GGATTATGGGAAGTGCCCGGGAACTGGGGAACCTCTTGCCATTGATGACATTGTTCCCGTGAAAACTGGAAAGGTAGTAGTAGGCTTTTTTTTGAGTATTTAATGTTGAGAACTGTTTAAGGAATTCGTTTTAAGCTGTTTAAGGATTTTTAGGTTTGAGTGTTATCTACAATTTCATTTTCAATTGTTAAATTTACAGTAAAAGTTATCATAGTTATGCAGATTACTCGACAAGATGAGGATCATTAATGGCTATCACTCAAACACATGTTTGAGCATATTGGTTAAACTTTCCCCCGACTCCGTTCATCTCAACCATTGGAAAAACTATTAGTTAATGGGGCACTCCCAGAAAGTTTGTTGGTGGCAGCTGAGAGCGTAAACAAGAGAGAAGTGAGATCATTGTAGTTGTTTGTTGAGATGGATTAACAAGCAGCTAGGAAGGTAATCAGTTCACTGAAATCTCATGTCTGCCATTTTAAACTGAAGTCATATCTGTTGTGAACATATTCTGTTCTGTTTTCATGTTCAATGTTGTGCAGCTCCTATGGCTTGGATGATCAGAAACTTGGAACTGACCATCTCCTGCCAAATGTATCTCACCACGAACAGGTCTCCTAGAATGTGTTGTGCTCTCAGTTTGTTATGAATGTACCATTTGTTTAATCAAAAATAAGTAAACAGAGCTGGTTGTTGATATAACACAGATTTTTCAGGCTGTGTTTGACACTGAGGAAGCAACTGAAGAACTTTTGATATAATCTTGTCATTCAAGGTTGAGCTACTCTTTTTTATATGCGTGTATAATATAATTTCCTTAAGCCTTGCTGATTAGTAGTGAATTGCCACATGCAATCAAATCTTCTTAAACTGCGTCGTTTATTAGGTTTCTGCAGCTTTTGGTGCCACAACATCCTTCAAAATGGTATAAATATCTTCAAATTTCCATATACGTTGCTCAGCTCACGCCTAATCAAGTAGTGAACATTTCTTTAGGTGTCATAAGGGAAGTGTTGAAATTGTCTTGAACTTTGAAGATTTGGGTCCCGCAGGCGAATGCTCTTATGGCCGTGACTCTGGAGTGAGCAATACTCTATGAAACTTCCATATATGTGGAAAGGATCTCCCACATGGATATTACGTGAGTGCTCCTAACATCCCAAAGGTAGTTTATCCACATCCTTTCTCATCTAACAAGCTTTGTGTGTGTTCCAACTCACCAGTGTGAAAACTCCGAAAAAAAGGCACGTGATGTCGTCTTGTGGCTGTGGAGAACACACAATAAGGTCAACGAGAGACTCAAAAAGGAGACCCCAGGTTCCCAAAGATGATATGGCCACCAAAGCAGCTTTGCCCATCATGTTATCTTTCTAGCACCCGGTATAATATGACGATGCTGCTGAGAAAAAAGATGATGACGCTGAGGAGAGGAAGATGAGATTCTGGATGACTACTAGATATGTTAGTCTAGTCTCAGTGAAATGGATCAACTGATGGTGCATTGTAAATTTAAAACCACTTGTGTTCATTAGTTCTTTGAATTTGGTTGTGAGGTTTTTGTCATACACTGAATGACAAATTCTTCTTTTTTTTTTTTAGCAAGTTTAGTATCAGTTCTTTAATCAATTATGTGGTATGTTAGTGCTGGTTAAAGAAAATCGATTATTATCTATTCAGAAGGAAACAGAACCACATAAGTAGAGATTCATTTACTTCATAGTCTTTCGTTGACATAAAGTCAGCGTAGGATTCCTACCTAAGGATCACGATGAAGTCTACATGTTCTTGAAGGAGTACTAAAGAGAGAAACTAGGGTCTTCTTACAAGAAAAAGAGTGAGGGTGTGAGTAAGCAAGAGGTGGTGGTGGTTGCAGCTGGAGAAGAAATGGCGGTGCCTACAAACACACTAGAATTTTAATGACCCTTTGTCTTTTTCTGCAGTCGATTAATTTGGTTTTGTAAGTCATTAAAATGTTAATTCAAATTGACGTTTTCCTACTGAAGAACATGAAAATTTTCAAGATATATAGGTCTGATGCACGTTATTAACAAACCGTAATAGCATAAATAGTTAACGCAATTTGATTCTTTTAGGGACTATATCAAACTTTCCATTAATGACAGTAAGTGTTTAATTATTTTTAATTAACTAAGTTAATTAGTTTCTAATATTTTAATTTTAATTTTTTTTCAATTTAAAATTACATTCTTGATAATTTTAAAATTACTTAAAAACTAACTTATTAACAAATTAATATACAATTAAAACTAAAGCAATATTTTATAATGTCAAAATAATAAATGAATAGAAAATATATCATGTTAGTAAATAGATTTTAGATTTTAAAGACTTCTATTCATTTAATATTACAAATTTCACAATTGGTTTATTACATTTAATATTTTACCATTAGATATATTAAAATAATATTGTAGATCGATATTCAATTGTCAGTTTTCAAGAATTACATGTAAAAATATTAATAAGTACGGCTTTTTTTTAAAAAAGGGGGTTTTATATTTTAAGTAGGTTATTAACATACTTTTTCTTTTCGTGAATTTATTCGAGATGAGATTCCGTTATCTTAAACTAAGATCATTTATGTTCTATACATAATTATATTTCTTACAAAACTTTAAAATCTCGAACTTGATTCTTCATATTTTATTAGTTACTTGTGTTACATATAATAGAAACATATTCGACAATAGTATAAATTTTATGGTATATTGAAGATAATTATATAAATAAATTACTATTACCCATTAATACCAATGAATTATATTCAAATATTTAATTCAAAATGAAATATAAAAAATTAAGTTTTAAAATTATTTAAATATAAATAAATATACAAAATTTCACATACAAACAAAAATAATAAATGTAACAAATTTAAATATATTATCAGCGCGTAGCGTGGAGAAAAGATCTAGTTAAAATATTGAAACTTAACAGATTTTTATATGAGTTTGTTGTAATAAAAGAAATATCTATAATTAAATATACTATTAAATGGTAGAAGAACTAATGGTTATACATAACTAATGGTTCACAAGAGCTGTTGATGGGGCGATGAATCTGTGCATAAATTTATCCGCTTTACACGCAGAATGTGAAGCTTTGATATGGGCTATGGAATGTATGAAGACCCATAATATTTCACACGCAGTGTTTACAACCGACTATTCTCAACTGGTGAAGATAATGTCATCACCTGAGGACTGGCGCAGCTTTTGTTACACGTTTAGAGGAGTTCCAGCGCAGTAAGTCTTTTTTCCTATCTTTCATATCCAACATATTTCAAAAGCACATAATCTAGTGGCGGACAAACTTACACGTGGTTCCAGGTGCTTCCTTGCTATGTTCTATGTTGTTTCTCTGATCCGGGAGAGTATACATTATAGTTTACTTCTATTGTTATCAAAAAAAAATGGTAGAAGAATTTTATGTGTAATGTGTATTCTATTCAAATGGTCTGATGTACATGTAATGATTCAATTACCTTTGATGAAAACCCTTAAAAAAAATTCATGTAATGGCATTATATGTAAATCACACATATTTTAATAGAATTTTTTTTTTCATGATTTAATCGTTTAACAGTTAAAAGACCAAATGACCGTTGATAAAGACCTTAGGATAGTTTAAGTTCTAATGGAAACTTTTATAATAAACACATCAACAATATGTTAGTTTTATATTGTATTTTTTCTTTTAATATAGTAGATTAACAATAATATATATTAAAATTTAGTCAACTATAATTATCTTACATACCAAACTCACATTAAACACATACAATTTTACAAGGTGATTCTTTCGTGCTCATGCAATATGTAAATATTTAAAACATAAATATATTATAATAATTGATTAATATTTTATTTTTAGTTTTATAACTTTCTAATTATATGTATATTTTATATTACTAATGTTAGAATTTTTTTTTGAATTGGACATGTATTTTTGTATATGTAATATCTAGTCAGTTTATATATCACTTAATTAGTATATTAGAATGTATCTACTTTTCTGAATTTAACCATAGTATTTTTTTGTTCTACATATATTACAATTTTGATATTTTACATTTAGTTTGCTTGTTCTCTTAAATATATAAATATATTTTAGGAATATTTGGTATAACATAATTTTTTTTTTTTGATAATCAAATAGATGAAATAAATTAAAGTGTAGATTGATTAAAAATCGCATAAAGGAATATAAAGATAGTATTTTTGAATCTCATGCACATATTTTACAAAAGAAATAAATTATAAAGTAATTAATATTTTAATATATTTTGAGGTACCAATAACTTCTATGTATAAAAATAAATAAAATATTACTATAAAATAATATGTTTTATTTATTATTTTTCTTAATGATTTTTTGATAACTTTCTTTTTTATGCATTCACCTTATATATGACTATTATTCAAAAAACGTTCTTAATTTTTTTATAATTTTCCTTGTATTATATATGTTATTGGAACAAATAAAAAGGAGATTAAATTAAAATCAAATTAACAGAAACTATAAATACAAAGAAAATTAAATTTAATAATGTTAATTAAATGTAATATATTTAATTACTTAAGGGTACTTCCATAATTAACCATTGCAAAAAATGACAAGAGTAAATCTATTGACTTTTGAAATATATTATAGAGATTTTTAATTTTATATTGTATTTTTTTCTCTTAATATAGTAGATTAACAATAATATATATTAAATTTAGTAAGCTATAATTATCTTACATACCAAACTCACATTAAACAATAATATATATTAAATTTAGTACACTATAATCATCTTAAATACAAACTCATATTAAACACATACAACTTTATATATCAAAATTGACTGTTAAAAACTAGAATCAAATAACACACGTAACAGCCTTTTGGGGTTAATAGCAACTTGCCAAGTAAACTCATAAACCACAACATCCAAATAATGTAGATGAAGATCTACCACAACTATAAAATAAAAACTAGACCTGTACCACTGACAAGTAGTTCAACTCGGACGAACTACTTGTGATGCTTGACGCCACAACGTTTTCACACTTGGCCACGGCTCTTACACTCTCTATAAGCTCGTTTGTTCTCCCCTCTTCGGACAATATCTGCAGCAGCTCTTCCGTGTTTATGACCAGCTTCACTTTCCATATATCCCCTTTGTTTCTCATACGCTTCCTCGTCTTCTTCTCCTTATGTCGGGTTTTTCTTGAAAAGACGTTTGTGTACGATCTCTTCAACACCCTACGGTTGTAATCCAGAGACATTCCGTAAGGAGTTATCATTGGCAAGGACTCGCTGTTGGATCTCACGTGATAGTTTCCGACAAAAGTCTTCAACTCGTCGGAGCCTGCTGTGATGGGTGAGAAGAACTCTAGAACTCCACCGTCCGGTTTTATGACTTTGGTCGGTAAGTACTCTTCCATGTCGCCTAACCCTCCGAATAAACAGTTCCCCATGCCTAATTTCAAACGTCGTTGATGGTGAGAGAGTGAGAGCTTTCCTTATAGTGCTTCTTATTTAATAGAAAGATGAGGCAAACTATGTGAACACTAAAGGGAAGTACATCAAAGGAAGATGTCAAAAAAAAAAGTACATCAAAGGAAAAAAATACCGTAGCATCTTCTTTGCTTTTGATATTTGAATACTATATAGCTTGCTTTTTTGAGTCATGCTATTAGTGTTCTTTTGTTCTTTAGTGATGAACATATAGTATATTCAAATATTCAAGTGACCATAACATAAACCAGCTTCTATATTGACATCCATTTAATATTTATATATCTTATAACTTCATTTCCTAAATCCTAAAAAGCAAGAAATAAGCAGATATCCATTGTGAGATAAACGTTTTAATTTGCTAGTTTATTTTCGGTTGATAAAAAAATTATTCTTTGAAAAATATTATTTTTATATATTACATATTATCTTTAACCCATCTTATGTTTTTGTAACATGTCTTGCATGCCTTGATAAAAATTTGTTTAATATAAAAAAAAAAAATATATATATATATATATATAAGATTTTTACCTAATGGAAATCTTTTAAAAAAGTATTGAAGTATCTTTTTAGTTGTTTTTATAAGAAAAATTCAAATATTTTCATGTTTTTCTTTGACAACAAATGGATATTCATTCACTCAAATTAAAGACGGTCCGAGAATCCAAATCTGAATAGAATAATCAACGAAAATAAGAATTTTATGAAAAGCTTGGTCAGTTTTGGCTAGTAAGCTAGTGTGTCTTGTTGTATTGTTGAGATTCCTTGGAACAGATATTTTCATGTTTATTGCCCAAAAATGAAAGACGAAAATAATCTTAGTGAAACCTATACATGTTCTAGTTTCTAATGACATTTCCGTAACATAAAAAATTAATTTAAAGTTATTTTAAAGTATATTTCCATTTTAATAAAAATAAGAGATATATTCCCAAAAGAATAGCTCTATAAAGAATGAGCTATAAAAAATAGATCAAAGGAGAGGAAAAAAGAATAAGTAAAAGAATCCCCTATATATTATTTGAGAATCATTTAAAAAGTTGTAACCTTAAGTTTGTAAGAATTAAAAATAACCCCGATCTTACGTGGCATAGCTGTTTGGCTTCTATTTCAAATCTCAAGGATTCTAGAGCATGTGATATAATGTATAGTTTAAAAATTATATTCTCTAGCAATATAATATTCCGTAGGCTATAGTGGGTCGCATATATCAAATATTTATTGTATCGCATGCTTTCCTTAAATAAAACCTAAGGAATTACCTAATGTGATCAAAATATATATATGACAATTAATGATTTTAAACAATAAAGATTTGATAACAATCTGTATACTCATTTTGTTTATTTCTTTATTATTAAAATAAATTACACAATTAAATTAATCATATAATAAAAATCTAGATTTTTTTTGTGTATGTTGTATTTCGAATTTTTCAAAATGAGTATAAATTACTAAAACTGTTAAAAGTCCCACATAAACTTTTAAGATCAAGGTTTTAATTTTTTTTCTATACTAATATATAATGATTATAAGACCATATGAAGAAATAATTTTAGTTTATATATATTTAATATCATTTTAATTAAACTATAAATCATATGAAAATACATACTTATATTTTGATATTTGCCTTGAACATATATTGAAAAGTTAATATTTTAATTTTGAAATATGTCATTGTTTTTTTTAAATGATTATAAATTATTGAAACTATTAAACATCTCACATTAAAAAAAAAATCGTTGGTGTAAAGTTTTGCTACACAAATATGAAAATAATCATAAAATCATATGAGTAGAAACCTCATTTAATTAATATCCATATTAAAAGTGTGTTATATAACTATGTTTATATCATTTAAATTTAATTATATATCATATACAATATATAAGATTGATTATTTTGATTTATTTACCCTAATTGTGAATAAACAAGAGTAATAGTTAAATTTATATGCATATGCCAATTTATTACATAATAGTAACTGATTTCTTAGTTATTTAATATATATTTATTATTTTATTATTTATAATATGCAGAAAAATATAAAATAAATAATAAATATAAAATACTCATTGTGCATAAAGTGCAGATCTTAACCTAAGTATGTATCTCTTTAATCATTTTAAATCTTAATTATTTTCTAAAACAAACAAAATGAGAATAAAATTCAAAATAAATATTTATATCGAGTTTTAACCAAAATATAAAAAAAAACATAGCAAGAGAAAAATGGAAGATAAGTATGACTGACACGTGAATGTAAACTTCTCATAACCATAATTAATTTTTAAATTGTTAAATCATGATATAAAACTGAGTTAATTTTTAATTTGTTAATTTGTTAATTTTTTAATTTTTTAAATCATTATGGTTATGTTAATCATGACCATAATTAATTTTAAATTATTTATTTGTATTTGAAAAACTTAAAATATTGTTTTTAAAAATAATTTAACTTTAACATAATTTTTATAAACTATTTTAAAAAATAAAAAATTTGTAAAAAAATATAATTTTCTAATATTATTAAACAGATAAATAAATTATATTAAATTAGTTTTGAAACTTTATATATTTTAAATGCAAAATTTTTACCAATCGCTTAAAAAACATTAGGGAACTTGCTAATACTCTACCAATCAAGCCCAGTGACACTTCATTTTTTTTCCATCACTCGAACACTGAAAAGTGAAAAGATATATGAAATCAGATCCATTAAATTCTAAGATTTGATCTACATTTCTAATTAAAATTGTTTCTGATCCTACGTATAGATAATTATATAAAATTTTCAAAATTCTTAAATTTCAAATACATACAAAAAAAATCATATGTAAATTTTAAATTTCTCAATATTAAAATTTTATATTTTAATTACATATATTCACCCTGCGCAAGGCGCAGGTCTTATCCTAGTGGAGTTATTAATGAATATGGTCCATTCGACCCCACTAAATCCCAAAATAACTAAATGAAAGAAAATGTCTGATTTTGGCGCCAGAACCTAATTCTACAAAGAGGCATCGGTCGGTGTCTCTTTCCAACTTTCTCTTTAATAAAAGAGTTCTTAATAAAACGCATCGATCTTTAACCCTAGTTTGGAGGCCACCTTACGTTGAATACAAAAAGTCTGATTTGGCGCCAGAACTAATTATACAGAGATCCAAGTACCATTATATTGACATGTCAAATTTGGAATAAGAAATGCTAACAAATATCAAAAATATTGGATGTAGTTGATTAAAATTAGAATTTTTAAATTTTACTTGTCAAAATATATACAAAATATATACAAGATATAGTATATTTTACCATGGAGGATCCGGCTGGGTTGATGGGGTTGGAAATCTGGTCAATCTCTGGTGGAAATGGCTATTGGTCTGAGTTCGAGTAACTCCTTATTTGCTTTAGAAAACCTGGAATGTTACAGATCTCATATGCATTCATCCTTCTCATTTTTTTTTTCAACACTGGTTTTGAATTGATTTCCAAGAACCCGAGGTTCAAAAATGAGTACAAACCATGAAGGCTTAACAGAAAGCAATGGCCAGAAACACTAAAATTCAAAAACCATGAAACAAAATAGCATGAGAGGATGTCAGTAGACATCGCAGACCGAGAGTATCCTTGTTTTCCAACTCTCCACACCATTGACTACAGTCCAGCTTCACCTTCAAGCCTTCTTGACATCCATGTCGGTTCTCCATGCGAAATATATGATTGATAACGTCTATCAGCAGTGACACTCTTAGCAATATCCTGCACAATCATGTTCTTGTCTTGGACTACATGCTCAAAACTCCACTCTTGTAATGAGGGCAAGTTGAGTTTGATATCCTCAATAAGGGTATGATACGCAGCAGCCATCTCTTGATTGAGGAATGTGTCTCTTGCCATAACGCATGAAGATTCAAAGATGATCCTCTGCTGACGTAAACTAACCATGTCTTTAACTGCCCACTGAAACGCTAGGAGCTCAGCCACCCTTTTTGTTGCAGTGTTAGAGAAAGCACGCCTGCAGTGGAGAATGGTCTTGCCTTTATCATCACGTAAGATCCACGCAGCTCCATTGTTCTCCTTCTGTCCCGCCCAAGAAGCACCAATATTACACTTCAGAAAACCAGGAGGAGGCTTAGACCAAGCCCCATGTTCCCCTTGATTAGTCCTTGGTGATTGATCATCCCCTTCCTCTGAACAGTTAACTACAAACCACACACTAGCATCTTCCTTAGCCCTGGATAAGACAGAAACTGATGAATAGTGTTTCCTCTCAAAAATCAACTCATTTCTTGCCTTCCACAACTGCCATAGGATCCATGGAAAGGACCTAGCGTTAGTATCCTTAGGGTTCTTCTTACTCTGCATCAATAGGTGGTAGACATTAAGAAAAACAGAGTTCTGGGAGAAACCCGAACTAGGAAGCTTGATCGATGCTCTTTCCCAAGTATCTTTAGCCATCGGACAATTAAATAGAAGATGACATATTGTCTCTGTTTCTCTATTGCAGACTCTACAGGTGGGATCAACTTGGACTCCTCTACTACGTAATCTTTCCATCACAGCAAGAGCACCTGAAAGAATTTTCCAAAGGAAATGCTTAAGTTTTGCTGGGGCTTTTATCTTCCATAATGAACTCCAAAGACTTTTCTCCAGAGGAGGTAACGGGGACTGCACTGCTCCATTCTCATCAGGTAGGGAGTCTACAAATTTATACCCACTCCTTGAGGAGTAAACTCCATCTTTAGTGAATCCCCATTTAAAACCATCTGCACGAGTAATGTTTGGTTTTAGCCTGAGGATGATCGCAGCGTCATGGTCAGTAAAGGCTTCCCTCGCACGTAATACATCCCAATATGGGGAGTTGGGAAGGAGAAGGTCTGAGATTGTCATCGTCAAATCAATCACACTATCCGGTCTGTAGTTTGGTGTTCTCGGAACAGGATCGATAATC